CTCTCTCTCTCTCTCTCTCTCTCTCTCTCTCTCTCTCTCTCTCTCTCACACACACACACACACACACACACACACACACACACACCAAATACAGTATGTACACACACATGTATGCTCACACAGACACATAATGTGTACTTCTATTCTACACTATAGCTTGATGGGATCTATAAATGTGGTAGAAAGAGTTATGGTGGCACAGTGTTGCAGGCTAATTTTACCCATTGCCAGGAGTTCGATCCTGACCGGCTCAAGGTTGACTCAGTCTTCCATCCTTCCAAGGTCGGTAAAATGAGAACCCAGATTGCTGGGGGCAATATGCTGATTCTGTAAATCACTTAGAGAGGGCTGTAAAGCACTGTGAAGCAAGTCTAAGTGCCATTGCTATTGCTACTCAAAATAAACATTGGTTCAGTACTTTCTGCTTCAGCAGTTCTGGAGCTGTATATTGCCATGTAGTAGTATGTCTTAAATGAAACCATTAATACATTAAGACTCTGATGAGTGCATGGTAGTTCTACCCATAGAGAAAGCTACCTGCTGAGTCTCCACACGATCCTTTTTTTTAATCATGAGAGGACGCTGTGCTATATTCCTGCATTATATTTTATGCTGGGCACAGAGGAATTACCTGCTCAGAGTGAATGAATTTTCAAAGTCAGTTTTATTCATTGATGGCAATAAGCAAGTATTTGTACTGCCAACAATCTCTCTGGACTGTTTGCAAAATAAACTTTAAAAAAGCAAAATACATCAAGTATAATAATATTTAGTACTGATTGCAGAAGAACTGTAGCAACCACAGATAATCAGATCAGTAACAGGTAACGGACTGGAAACACATTACTGAAAACTGGAGACATAAAAAAGGTTGGGAGAATAGAAACTGTTCTCCCTCCCCCCCTCCCCCCGCCCAAATGCAAGGTGAATTGGTTTTGGGAGAATTGTCAAGACCTCAGCTGCAATGGCTCCTCTGAGACATTTTAATGTGTTATGATTTTTTAAAATGTATAAAATATGCTTTCTATTTTAAGAAAACAGCGTGTATCTTAGGTATCCGAACTTGTGGTAATTTCACTCTGTTCCAATTTTGTGGGCTTGGCGGGAAGCATCCTTATATCCTTATCCTTCTCCATAAGACACCTTGAAATTAAAGGGATGAAGGATGGGTGAAGAAGCAGAGCTAGCATAATTAACTTCTGCTCAGACTGACCAAGGTTTGAGGGAATGGGACTGATTTGAAGAGCTGGATGAACTGACCCTTAGCGCCAGTTTAGACCTCTTCTAAGAAGACCTGCTAGCTGGCATCTCTTCATGGGCAGGATGCCAATGCAAATAGCCTTTTGTTGCTTGAGGAACATTGGAAGTCTCAATTGACTCACATGATTGCCTGAATAATTGTCACTGCTCTCCTGGAATATTGCTGAGTATGAAGTCAGAACAAGGAATCCTGCTTTCATGACTTATATTACCTAGTTTGATATTATTTTATTTCAGAAACCTAGCAGCTAGTAATCTGTATCCTGAAGGTTGTAGAGTCTTTGTCAACTTCTGGCAGTCTCTGAGACAGGTTGAGAGAGATTCCGTGTAGACTTGAGAATCCATATCTGTCAGTCATAATACCGTTATTTAGCATTGGAACTTCTTATATTGGGGGGCTTATTTTAATAACAATGTTCTTAATTACTTTGAGTCCCTGCTTATTGTTTTTCTCTTCTGCACGTATACATGTATATAGAAAAACGCAATGCTTTTTGTTAGGGCTCAATGGTTAGAATGCAGTACTGCAGGCTACTTCTGCCGATTGCTGGCTGCCAGCAGTTCAGCAGTTTGATTCTCACCGGCTCAAGGTTGACTCTACCTTTCATCCTTCTGAGGTTGTTAAAATGAGGAGCCAGATTGTTGGGGGCAATATGCTGACTCTGGAAACTGCTTGGAGACAACAGTAAAGCATTGTGAAGCAGTATAGAAATCTAAGTGCTATTGCTGTCTTCTTTGTATCTGGCCTTGGGTTTGTAATAAACAAACTCGAATTTGAATTCAGTCTTAATGCTGAGCTCACTCTTCTAGATCCTTTTAGCAGCCATCCACGAGAATTTCATCCTTGTAAATGATATATACCCCCCTAACACCCCTCACCTTTAAATTGTAGAAATCTGGTCAAAAACAAAAATCTGCATTAATAGTTCTTGGTTCTCACATATAGCTAGGGATTTTAACATAAGATTATGTTTAAATGACAACCTCCTGTAATTCTAAATTTTATCATTGCAACCCATCTGAGAGGTTGACCCCTCAACTTGAGATTTATTTATTTATTTGTTTGTTTATTTATTTATTTAGCCACCCATCTTACCTCAGACTAACTCTTGGGTAGCTCTGAGTTCTATAGACTGGGCCTTCTAGTCCCACCTTAATCATAAAAGCCAGCTGGATGACCTTGGCCTCGTCCCTCTCTCTCAGTCCAACTCACCTCACAAGGAAGAAGGTGTGTTGGATAAGTTTGCCACCTTGAATTACTTGTCAAAATAATAAAGGTTAGGATACAAATAAATAAACAAACAAACTGAAATTTTCTTTGGCTGCCAGAGTCCAAGAATAACTTTGAAGACTATTTAGAGCAGGGGTCTTTAAACTTGACAGCTTTAAGACTTGTGGACTTCAACTCCCAGAATTCCTCCTCCAGTCAGTTAGCTCAGAAATTCTGGGAGTTGAAGTCCACAAATCTTAAACTTGCCAAGTTTGAAGACTTTTGATTTAGAGTCTGTTTTATGTTAAAAAAAGTGTGTTGGATATGTTGATTTCTTTAAATGAACTTTCTGAACAGGTTCGGAACTGTCGCCTTGTTAGTCTTCTTGATCTTGCACTAGAGAAGGATTATGTGCGTTCCAAAGTTGCGGAATATATGAATCACCTAATTGACATTGGTGTAGCAGGATTTCGCATAGATGCTGCCAAGCACATGTGGCCTGGGGATATGAAAGCCTTTTTAGACAAACTAAAACATCTCAACACGAAATGGTTTGCTGAAGGGACAAGGCCATTCATCTTCCAAGAGGTAAACTGCCTACATATCTTTCAAATACATATCAAAGGATCAATTTCAAATACATATCAAACATTGGAAAAAAGGCAAGGTTGAACATTTTCTTAGGCCTCCAGCTCTAAATAAAAGCCAAAGCTGGAAGCAGAACAGCATGAAAACATAACCTTACTTGTTATAAGCCACCTAATGAAAATAATTTAAAAACAATTTCTTAGCTTTTTGTAGGTAACAGCCTTGCAACATCTTTATTCGCCCCCCCCTCCCCCCCACACATTTTGATGTTAAGCTATTCTGGTCAATATATCTATGAATTTATTAGCAAAATTTGAAGATTCCTAATTGTATGTGTGAACTGGCTCCACTGAAAAGCAAGTAATATGAAGTGATTTTGTATTTCTTGAAAGTTAACACCAGAGATGTGTGAACCAGGCAATCCTATTTGATTAGCTTGAAGGCAAAGGTGGAGCTGAATTATTATGTCTGTGTTTATGTAATTCAATAAGCCATGGTTTACATGGTTGGGTTCATACTAAAACTTAAATCCTGGTTTAGAAACCTCATTGACATCATTTTTACAACAAGCTAAACTACAGACAAACAAAATGTATTTAGCTTAATGAGAAGGAGGATCTTATTCAACATAGACTGCATATTGGATTTCTCCATTACTTTATTTTATCAGGAGATGTTGTCAGGTATATTTATGCAAGATATATAGTGCTTTTTTAAATTTAAGGTTGCATGCCACAATATTTTTCCTTCTGATTTTCACCAGGTGATTGATCAAGGTGGGGAGGCCATTTCATCCAGTGAGTACTTTGGAAACGGCCGAGTAACTGAATTCAAATATGGTGCCAAACTAGGGACAGTCATTCGCAAGTGGCATGGAGAAAAGATGTCTTATTTGAAGTAATGTAGCTTTCCGCTTTTTAAAAAAGATTCCTAGCTCATTGACATATTGTGTTCACTTAAACTGACTCTTGCTGTCTTTTTTTTTTTTTTTTTAAGGAACTGGGGCGAAGGCTGGAGTTTTATGCCTTCTGATAAAGCTGTTGTCTTTGTGGATAATCATGATAACCAGAGAAGTCACGGAGGTGGTGGAGCTTCTATTTTAACCTTCTGGGATTCCAGGTGAGAAGGACTTCTGAAGGTCCCTCCGCCAGATGTTTCTTAGACTAATTGGGACAACTGCCACAAGTAGGAGGATTTGGGATAGTAGCAACAATTCTCAAAACTATTCTTATTGAGTTTTTTCAGTTCTTCCCCTGTTTTGGTAGGCAGAACTGTGTGTGCTACACAGCCTTTTCTGCATCCCTTAAACTAGCCAGGTGGCAGCCCAGAAACCTCAGAGAAAAAAAACAAGTCCATTAAAATACCTGTGCCGAAGAAAGATTTGTCAACCCAATTGCTTCTGTGTATATGGAATGAAGTTAGGTATTTTTTTTCTCTTGATCTCAGACACCAAAATCATTGGGTCCAGAAAGCCTGACTGAGTTTCTCTTCCTAGAGAAATACAAATATGAGTTTCTCTGCCTTTTTTTAAATTTCATATTTAGGCTCTATAAAATGGGAGTTGGCTTCATGCTTGCACATCCATATGGCTTTACAAGGATCATGTCAAGTTTCAGCTGGCCAAGATATTTTGAAAATGGAGAGGTCAGTGTCTCTTTTGTAAACTTAACAAACAGCTTGGGGAAATGAGCAGCATCTATTAATTATGTATTGAGAGGGAATCTTGGATGCCTGATGGATGCCTTTTATTAGAACAATGTTGTGACCAGGCTGATTCCTCTTCATCCTTGGCAATATTTCATAACACTGTTTAATATCTGTACCAGAGATAGGGAATCTGTGGGGCAAAGGCATTCCTAGCATATCGTTTATAGTTCTCTATGGATTTGAAGAATGAAATATCCCCTCATCAAAGCTTTTTTGTCTGTTAACCAAGCCATCCCACTTGCTGGGACCCTTAAAGTGATCAAGAGGCATAACATGGTTGAGAAAGTTTGCTACACCTACATGAAACTTACAGCCTATAGGTGCCAAATATATTTAATACGTAAATGAATAAAAGAGATCATGCTTGGTTAGCATCTGGTCTGTAGCTCCAAAGGTTGTGCTGACCCTGAACTTAGTAATGGGCTGGACAAGAGCCAGACAATGGAAGATAAGAGAATAACAGAGTTGGAAAGGACCTTGAAGGTCTTCTAGTCCAACCCTCTGCTCAAGCAGGATATCCTATACCATATCTGACAAATTCTGAAATGATATATAAGTTTTCCTGCTTGAGCAGGGAGTTGGACTAAAACAGTGGTGGCTAACCTTTTTGGGCTCCTGTGCCAAAAATTGAGCACGTGCTTGCACACTCGTACTTGTGTACCAGCACCCAGAAGGCATTGCGTGCCCCCCCATGTCCCCTACACATGCGCGCGCAATCCCACACTCCACCCCACCCCGCCGCCTCCTTACCCACACTGCACCTCACAGCTGATTTTCAGCCAGTTTGAGGCCTTTTTCGGCCTCCCAAAGGCTTGAGGAAGGCTTCTGCAGGCTTCTACAAGCTTTGTAGGCTGAAATTTAGCCCTGTTTCACCACTTCCTGTTTTTCCAAAAATACTGGAAGTGATGAAACGGGGCTAGATTTCGGCCTACAAAGCTTGTAGAAGCCTTCCTCAAGCCTTTGGGAGGCCGAAAAAGGCCTCAAACTGGCCGAAAATCAGCTGTGAGGCATGCACATGCGCAGTGAGGTAAGTTTTCCTGCAGCTTGCATGCCGGCACAAATGGCTCTGTGTGTCACCTGTGGCATGCGTGCCATAGGTTCACCATCACAGGACTAGAAGATAAATTCTGAATTTCTGTTACATTATTAATTGATTTGCCTATATAAGTCTTCCTCTTGGGTTTCAGGGATAAATAGTTGGAAAAAAATGGAATTCTGTTTTTGTATATGATAACCACAGTGAAATTTTTGTATGCACAAAGATAGAAAAAATTAGGAGATGTGCTGCAAATAAACTTAGACAAACAAACAAACAAACATAGGAATGGTCAGTGAAGGTGATAGAATTTACTGAGATGGCTCAATTGACATTTGATTAAAGAAAAGACATTTATTGCTGACTGGAAACCCTTTATGGAATTTTTGCATAAAAGAAAGAAAATGAATTTATGATCATCAGATAGCCTAGTCTAGTTTGTATATTTTAATCTCACTTGTTTTATTTATTTATTTTTACATTTTCTTTTCATGTTTAATTTGTATTTAACCACCAGGATATTAATTCCTGGGTTGGTCCCCCAAGTTATGAAGATGGATCAATTAAGTCTGTAACAATTAATCCAGACACTACCTGTGGCAATGGCTGGATCTGTGAACATCGGTGGCGTCAAATAAGGTTAGAAAATTTCACAATTCCTATTCTAACAACAAGATATGCATGCTTTCCAGATCCTGTCATCTTCCAGACCAGTTGGTCATCAGTTCCCATAATTTCCAATCAGAACATGCAACACATCAAGCTGGGACATGTAACACATGTAACACATCAAACTAATGTAAGTCAAGATTTTGAATAACTATTTCTCCTTTTTTTCTCCAAGGAATATGGTTATTTTCCGCAATGTTGTGGATGGGCAACCATTTACCAATTGGTGGGATAACAACAGCAATCAAGTGGCATTTGGTCGTGGTAACCAGGGATTTATTGTCTTCAATAATGATGACTGGTAAGTAAACAGGGATTTTACATACAGGATACAGACCTCTTGTCGGAACTAGGGACTACACTGCAGCATTTCCCAAACAAATGTCTTTCAGTTCTGTGACTACAGACACCATAAACTTCATCTAACCTTGCCCTTGTTTTTTTCTGGCTAGAGAATATGGGATCTGTAGTGCAGAATTCTGGAATGTACTGGGCTTGGAAAGGCTACTATCCAGGGGTGGGATTCAAAAATCCCAACAACCAGTTCTCTGCCCGGTTGCTGGGTGAGTGTGGCCTACCGGAACTTCTGGGAGGGCTGTTTTTCACCTTCTCCAGAGTCCGGAGTTTTCCCCTCGGGCCTCTGGGAGGGCAAAAACAGCCTCTCCTGGGCTCTAGAAGTCCTCCAGAAGCTGGAAACAGGCCTGTTTCCAGACTTCTGGACTTTTCGGGAGGGCTGTTTTTCTCCCTCCCAGAGCCTCCGCGTGGACCCTGCACTTACCTGCATCCAAAATGGCCCATATGGAGACTTCTGGGAGGTGCAGTGTAAGGCAGGGTGGTCAGGGCGGGGCCAGCCAGTCGGTTCAACTGCCGGTTCAGCAAACCAGATTTAAATTTAACATCTGGTTCGCCTGAACCAGCCCAAATCGTCTGAATCCCACTCCTGCTACTATCTGTCTCAAACGATCAGGTTAGTCAGATGCAGATAATCTCAGGACATTGTTTATTACATTTTGCTTATTTATTAGAATCATAATTAATTAATTAGTTAATATACTGCCTGACTTCCAATAACTTTGGCCAGCTTTTAGCTGATCTTTGGGTTTGCACCTTTTCCAACTACTATTGAAAGAAGAACAGACTAATAGCGATGGTAGTGTACAAACTACTTTGCAAAACAATTGGGCTCCATAAGCCAATTCTTATGATTTCAACTCAAAACATTCTTAAACAAATGAAGTACATGAAAAGATGATGTATGTATGTGTGTGTGTGTGTGTGTGTGTGTGTGTATATATATATATATATTTGTTTTCTTAAGTTTTTGTGGGTACTTACATGTATGGCATTCAGCTTTGTTCAGAGCCTGATGATGGCAGATGAGATTCTGCCGAAACGTTGCTACCACTTTAAAAGCACAACTACAATGACGTGGGAAAATACCCGAACAAAGCTGAATGCCATACATGTAAGTACCCGCAAAAACTTAAGAAAATATATGTGTGTGTGTTTATAGGTTTTCACGGGTACAGGTATGTAGGTCTAGGTGTGTTTATTGGTCTTGGAGTTTGCACACAGACCAAGACTCCCAACCAATCAGGATGAAGAAAGAACCATTCTGGCACAGCAGTAGGCTAGCCCCAAATTTAAAACAGAAACGGCTGTGAAAGTCTGACTCACAGACGAACACAATACAGAAGCCTGATGATGGCAGATGAGATTCTGCCAAAACGTTGCTACAACTTTAAAAGCACAACTATAATGACATGGGAAAATACCCGAACAAAGCTGAATACCATACATGTAAGTACCTGCGAAAACTTAAGAAAACATACATACATATATATGAAAGATTAGCCTGACATAATCTACTTTGGGACTTTAAATGCTAAAAGACAACACTTTGATTTGGGACTGGGAAATTGGATGCCAATGTTAGGCATTGTATTACAAAACTATAGTCTCAGAGCAACAAAATTAAATCTAGGGAATAAAAGTGTATCATATAAAATCACTACATTTGCCTAATTTGAATACTTTCCTTTATTAATAGGAATCTGATTGCCACGTTACAAACTGGCCTTCCTAAAGGAATTTACTGTGATATTATATCTGGACAGAAGGAGGGTAATAATACCTGTACCGGAATTAAAATCCAGGTCAATGGAAATGGCACTGCTGATTTTAACATTAGCAATTTTGCTGAGGATCCATTTGTTGCCATTCACGTCAAAGCTAAATTATAATCTCAGTGAGAGAAACATATTTCAACAATTTTGTTTTCCAAAGTAATGGACATCTTCAAAAATCATTTTTGTCTTCCATTTGCTTTACTAAGAAAAGGTCTTTGCTCTTTGTTTTGTCCATGGGTTTTTGTTACATTTAGCCTGTTAAACGTATCTCAAATAACTTCAGGTGGCCAGTCCTGAGAGACAGCATAATGTATAAAATAGTCACAGCATTTACTGTTCCATCACATGTTGATCTTCATCCCACCTCTGACCTCTGCAATATGGGGTCTCTCTCCATATCAGATTAGTACCCAACTTTTTCAGCTCTGCAGATCGGCAGCAGCAATGGCAGCAGAGAAAATGGTCTCCCGCAAGCATCCAGGACCAGGGGTTGGGGATCCTGCTATACATAACATCACAGAAAAACCACTGTTTAAAAGTGGTTTCAGACAACCATCTTCTGGTAACAATAGTGCAAGAATTTATCCTAGATCTAGATTCATCCCCCCCACCCAGTTGAATCGGCCTACGTCTAGTTTAATGAAAAGAAGGACTAGGGGAGACATGATAGCAGTGTTCCAATATCTCAGGGGTTACCACAAAGAAGAAGGAGTCAAGCTATTCCCCAAAGCACCTGAAGGCAAGACAAGAAACAATGGACGGCCCCTAATCAAGGAGAGAAGTAATCTAGAACTAAGGAGAAATTTCATTGAAAACAATAAGTGGAACAAATTGCCTCCAGAAATTGTGAATGCTGCAACCCTGAGAGTTTGTAAGACGACATCAGACAACCATTTGTCTGAATTGGTTTAGGGTTTGCTGCTTGAGCAGGAGGTTAGACTAGAAGACCTCCAAGGTCCCTTCCAACGATTCTATTCTGCTCTGCTCTTGTATTCTGTCCTAACAACAAATGGAGTTCCATGACAAGAGAAAGATCTGGGGAGGCTATCCCCCTAAAATGAGTTTTTGTTAGTGTGGCGCTCGCAATAGACTAAAGCCGAAGTCTTCACTCCGGTCCGTGTTTCCAGCGGGAACACGGACCATTCCTATTGGCTGATGCTGTTTGACATCCGGCTATAAAAGGGAGCTGTCAAACGACATCAGCTGTTGTCCGCCAGCTGGCTGCCTTGTTAGCGCGGCAGCCTCAGCAACCCTTTATTGTCTCAATAAAGTAACAGCTGAAGTTTGCTCCGAGTTTGCCTCAGGTTATTCCGCCGCTCCACAACAGTTAGTTCTTTGAGGCAGTCCAGACAAGAAGCACAATCAGGAGTACTACCTTTATTGCTATGTTACAAAAATCTTGCAAGAGTGAAAGTATTCCACCCCCACTTTCCTTTTGCTTTACAGAAAACTAGGGAGGGTCTCTTCTAAAACATTTCCCATACCCTCCCTCCTTTTGAGGGCTAAGTTGTCTACTACATGCTAGTTGTCCAATTTACATTTCTCTCTCCTGTCTTGCAAGGTCATTCCCACATGCCATTACAGTTCTTTGCATCGGGGATGTCTATAGAGAGAGGTAGCTTTAAGTTGTAGATGACATTTGCATTGAATCAGTTTTTCCTATATTTAAGTGATGGAGACCACAAAAAGTAGCTACAGCAGATGTCGAAGAAGGTAAATCCTAACAAAGTTTTTTTAGCAAAACGTTTCCCAGAAACAAAAATAGGAACAAAGTGGGATTGCGTAGTAAGAGTATGAACACACCTTAAGCAACCAAGTTCGTAAGCCTGCAGTTGGCTCAATGCCAAGTGTAACAGGATGTGAACATTATTTGCCATTCAGAAACATATGTATTTCTGTGATTATTTTACTTAAAAGTAAAACAGTGTTATATACACTATTAACATAAAGTACTGGTCTATATATGTATACACATCCTTACCATTGCCAAAGATATATTTAAAATGGTTGTAAATATTAGGAAGTATTACAAAATAAAGCTTAAAGGTTAACTTAAATCTGTGTCTTGTCTTATTTTGAATTTGTAATATCCAGAATCAGATAAAAAATATTTGGCTTATAAATCTTGACAATAAATCAGTCACCAAATGAGAAGTTTCTGGACTTTTGTTTAAATCTATATGGATTGTTATAATATTGCAATACAAAGAAAATAGAAAAGAAAAACCCAAGGTGATACATAAAAAGATTGCTACATTTGAATTAAACAAAGTATAGTGAAAAAAGAAAAGAAAAAGAAGGTAACTTTTTAATGGTATATCTTATCTTGTCCTTCTGCTGGTATTCCCAACCACCAGTCACTGTTTATATATCTGGACTTTGCATCAAATTCTAATTGTTGCCAGTTTCTATTTGAATCATCAAAAAACATATTCCAGATGTCCAAATCTGCCTTATGTTTTATATTAGAGCCATTTCTGCTGCAACTTAACTAAACTTTTTTTGCGAATGTACAGTCAATGTTGCTATTATGGCATATATCCAATTTTAGTCTCCCAGTCTGATATATAGCAAGGTATCAATTTTCCAATATTGTGCTAGGTTTATTCTTGTTTCAATCTTAGTAAATTGTTTCTTACTAAATTTAATATTTTTCATGTATGGTGCTTGGAATTATGACCAATAGAAATACCTGTGATTTCAATTTATATTTTAGATTTAGTTTTTTTTATTCTTTTGATGTATTTCTTTTCAATACCTTTGCATTTTTGCATGTCCACTATGTATAGTAAAATGTTCTTTGTTTCTTACATTTTCAACATTTGTCTGTTTTTATCTATCTTCATAGATATCATAATTAATATATCTTCTATAGAATATTTCTAGAGAATATAAATCAAAGTGCCTTAGAGTAAATTTTATTGATTTTTCCCCATAGCTCTTCTCTTTGGTCAATTGTAATTACTTTTCTCAAATTTTGCATCCATTTTATCTTCTAATTATTTAATTTGTTCTGTCCCTGTGTCATATTTCAGCAATAATTTATACATCCATCTTAATAAATGATCTTGGTTTTGTATAAAAATTTCAATTTTGTCATCTTTCTCAAAGACACTCCTTTTTTCGAGATTGTTTTTTTTATTTTTATGATTATTTATAATTGTGGTAAATTAACTTTATGTCCTAGTTGCTCTGAAACTTGAAAAAACATCTTTGATCCTCGTATATTTGACCAAATAGATGAAATGTATTTCAAAGACATGAAAAGTTATCAGAAAGAAAGCAAAGTTTTGCCATCTGAGTAGCATAATATAAGAAAATGGATTTTGATATAAAGAAAGTAGATTTCAATTGAACAGTGGCTGAAATCTCTTGTCCTGTAATACTGCGGATCCCAGGAGACTGCAAAAAGGATTTTGGACAAGATGTGATGAATGCGTGTGAGAGATGAAATGGAATTGATAGAGTGCCAAATGTCTATGATTATTACATAATAAAAACTCAAGAAATTTAAGCCTGTGCTATTTTTATTTATTTCATTTTACTTCTTAAATTTACTTGCCACCATCTTCTTTCAGGGCGACTGAGTGGCTTACAGCATAAACATTAAAATCATCAAATATAAATATAAACTCAATAAAACCACAATACAAACAGAATAAAATTATTGTCTGAAGTTGGAGAAGGAGGAAGCCGCATGCATGGGAGGGTGTTTCTCTAAAAAGGAACACAACACTTCTTAATCTCAACTATGACATTAATGTCTTATTTCATTAATAGGCAAATAATTCATGGCAATAAAACATACAACGTTTTGGACCAGAATTCCCACGATAACTTTCTCTGTCATGTTTCCTGGGAAATATAGGAGTTGAAATACCCATGAAGAGGGTCCATAGTTATCTGGACACTGAGATGGGGGGGGGCATATAAATTTAATAAATAAACCTGAGAAATGCTTCCACTATGCATTTCTCTGGCCTGTAAAGCACCTCCAAATATATGATTGTGTAATTCTATCAGTACGCTAGACAAAATACTTGCTGATACTCTTTCTTAGTGGACCTCGGTCTTTATTCATCATCATCTTTTAATGACCCCCATAATCCCCATGTAGGTTGGAGTCTGGGCAATTGAATGGAGCTAGCAGAGTGTTTACTGACCGGACGCCCTTCCTGTTGCCAATGCGGAGTTTTGTTCAGCAGATATATTCTCATTGTGCCCAGAAAGAGAAATATCTGCCTCTACCTAGGATCAAACTCCCTGTCCTAGGAAGGACCCCAGTCTTTATTGTGACAGTAAAATGAGCTGTCATGACAATCTCTTCTGACTTTCTTCATTATCTTAAGTGGTTTGCAGCTGGTGGTGTGTTTTGCAGTGTGGAAAATAATGTAACGCAGCTTACATCACAGCTCCGACAAAATGCCAGCATCTTGGATATAAGAGGGAGGGGGCAGTTTGTTCTGGTGACAGCCAATGAAAAAGGGTTCTCTGTGGACCCATTGGAAGGTGAGCGTTTTGCCTTTCATTCTGAAAACAATCCACAAAGGGTTTTTTAAAAAAGCCAAAAAGGCTTGGCTCCTTGTCCCTCTTTGCCCCCATACAGCTGTAAAAAGGCAGGCTGGTGTTTGTCAGGCTTAAAATAAAAGGGGGAGAGAAGCGTAATGGGATCTCACAGGCATTTGCACTCTTTCAAAATGAAACATAAAAAAGGACCTTCAAAGATCTTTGATTAGGAAATGAACAGATGGGGAAACCATGCAGTCTGTTTGTTCTTTCTGTCCTTGAATATAAATTCTGGGGAAAAAAAGGAAGCGTATGCGTATCTGTGATTCAGCTTATTTTGGAAAGAGATATTTGCTACTGCAAGTACGCACAAGTACAAGGTACACAAGAGTAAAAAATTGGTGATCTGGTATCTTTTTTAACGCCTTCACTGTGTGATTGATAATTATTTAAAGCCACACATTTTTTAAGGTTATTGTGTTTTTTTTAAAAATCATTTCCCCACTCTCTCTCCAAAGGTTTCCTTCATACAGTTCTATAACCATCATATTTGAAAAGAATCTTTATAAGAAGAACATTTTGTGGAACAAAATGGATGCATGAAATGTATTTGTCCCTGATTGTGCCATATTGGCCATACAGATTCTTTTTCCAGGAATGTTTATAATACTTTTAGTACATAGTTTGATGGGCATTCCCCATGTTAATCAATGTTCCAATATAGGAGAGTTTTAACAGAAGAAGAAGAAGGAAGAAAAAGAAAGAGGAGGAGAAGGGGAAAGAACAGGAAGGGAAATAAAATGCTAGAATTAACAGATTACAAGAAACTAGATATTTTATGCTGCACCACTTCGTTGCAGTTCCAACTGGCCAAGTGCCTTCCTTATTGGAAGGACACTGGGCAATTATTGGGAGTTCACTAGATAATTGCAAAGAATAGGCCTTTTTCAGTGAAAGCCTCCGACACTGGGATGGAGGAGATATTTTTTTTGGATAATGAGATGTGTGGCATATAAATTTAACAAATAAATAAATTTAAACAATATACAGCCTAATTTTACTTATCCAGGTAGCCTGTCCTGGTGACAACCCTCAAGTGACAATCTATTCAGGTCTGGGTTCCTCACATCAGAAG